ATAATTTGTTTCCATATAACAGTATTAACGCGAATAAAAATGATGAATATATAATAAATAAATAAATAATAAATAAATAATAAACAGTATGCACTTGATAAGTTCATTGTAAATTTGTTTATTTGTTTTATTTGATACATTTAATAAGCTTTTACTGAATTTACGTGTTATTATTATTATAAGAAATTTTCTCAGTATAATTTATAATTATGTTTGTCGTGAGCATATGTTTTGTCGATTTGGGGGCGAACATATACGTTTGATAAAAAAGGTAGATTGCTTTACTTAAAGAATTATAAAAATGCACTTGTTATTTGATGAAACTCTGTTTTCATTATGAATTAAGGGTTTATTTACAATTGTATCGTTATCGCATAGGTAAATAAACAACACCGTAAAAAAAAAAAAAATTAAAATCAGATGTTAAACGGTTTAAAAATACAAAAAAAAAAAGAAAAGCAATCACAAGTAATATTTCAATATTTTTAATATTTTAGAAATTTTATTTGTTTAATGATAATAAACAAATCTGCAGTTACAATGTTAGGATTACAAAATTTTTGACAAGTACTTGAGGAGATAGCGAAAACAACAAAAACAATTGAGATCCTGCGAAATTAATATTATCATTATCAGATAGTTAGATGTAACGTGCAATCAATTGTATAAACTCGACTCTTGCTCTTGTTGGGTAAGTAAATTTTTTTTAATCTTCACTTAATCTCGTGGAAACATTTCTTTGGGGAAGGCGTTCTTTTTATTTTGATCACGTTCATGTATTTAATTTTGTTTTGTTGAAATATTTAAAATGACATCAATTTTTTTTTTTTATGTTTGCATAATATATAATCTATATATATAACATATAACATATATATAATTTTCGTCGTTACTTTACGCCATGAATCAATGTCTATTAATAAATCTGGATTTTTTTGTTTGAAGAAAATCAAATGAGATCCCAACTCTCTCTACTTTGGACTACAAATATACAGTATAACAGCAAATATACTTGGATGCATACACAGTATTCTTTTAAAAAAGAATTTTCTAATGTGAATGCATAATCCATTTTGAAAGTTTCATATTGATAATTGTTTTCTTATTCATAACCATTATTGAACTTCTAAATAACTTTTAAGAATTACGACAAAAAAAAATACTCACGTGTTGAATTATCGTGATTTTTTTTTCATGTTTCGCGTTTATTTTTTTTTAATATATTTACGTGTCTCACAAAATGCTTGTATTTTCAGTTTGTAAGTTAAAGAATGGAAATTCCACCAAGAAAGAATATAAAATTAACATTATTCTATTACCTTCTTCGTACGTTGTTTATTTAAATGGTAGTTAATACTTTTCTGATACAGACCGAATCTAATATGTAGGGGCTTTTAATTAAATTAGGAAGTGAAAAAAAAATACCCATGAAACTTATAATGCAAATCATCAAAACATCAAGACATTACTAATCTTTAAGTGACAGTTTATAATCTTGGCTAATTATAATTTAAATTTATATTTAATTATAATTTAATTGCATCAGTAATTCTAAATAATTCTTTGTCACAGAAAGACTAATAATTTTATCTAGCATTAAAAAACAATTTGGGAAACCATTCTTTCCATAAAAATTATATCATACATTCTAGGGGGGATGAGATGGGGGATGAGGATTTAACTGAAGAAAACAGTTAGAATCCGTCCATTGTTATTTGCAAGATGTTTTGTTATACGATGCTTTTCCCTTCTTGCATTGCATTTACCGTTACTTTTTTAACCATTTTTTAATAAAAATTGTTAAAAATGTTATTCAACTGTACACATCAATGTTTCGAAAAAAACTAGTTTTGAATTTAGTACGACTATGACGGAGGATATTATTTATCCAAATAAATACCGATCAAAGGATTTTACTAAAAATGATCTCTAATTAAAAAAAAAAAAAAATTGAAACAATTAAGTATAATGGTGATAAATGACATCCACGTGTTTAAATTTTCAAACAAAATATAAATAACTTGGTAATTTTAAAAATAGCTTCAATGAATTTAAATTTAATAAAACCGAATTAAGAATGTTAAGTGTTAAATAATTATGACAATTCGATTACATAATTATCTGTACAAGAGAATTTTACCTAAATTATAACTTCTAAAGAATTTCTCAATTCATTATTCATTGCATGCCATTGTAACTGTTCTATATACAATATTTCTTAAAAACTAGGTCTTTTATATCAATCATCCGATTGTTTTTTTTTTTTAAAAAAAAAAAAAAAAATTGAAATTCAATTCTGGAATTAACTTCATTCGCGTACTGTATAATAAAAGAAAATTAAACTTTCATTGACCAGTTTACTTGTTGATAAATGACAAATCACATGAAATTCACTTGAGTAATTTCAATTAATAATTTACTGTTATTTTTTTAATTTTATTATATTCATTCAATTTTGAATTACTTATACCAATATTTAGTTGAATGAATTGTGGAATCATTATTTTCTAAAGCATTTAATATTTTATAGTTTATTAATTTTATCATTATTTTTATCATTATTTTTATTACATCAAAAATTTAATCATCCGATTTAAACAATAATAACTTTGTTATTCATTTACAAACTATATCAGGAAATTTTGATAGGCGAAAATTTCCAGAAATTTTTGATACCTTTGGAAATTTGCACAAAAAAATTCAAAATTATAGAAATTTTTGAAAAAGTTTATTATTGTTGTTATTCTTTTTTTTTTAATGTTTTTTGAAAAAGTTTGAAATGTAAAGAATAAAGTATAAGATTACTATTATTTTTTGTTATATTTAAAATTCTTTGATATTATTATTTATCTTTTATATACTAAGAACAGAATCTTGTCTTCTAAAAAAGACTTTTTAACACCTTTCAGAAATTGGAAATAGTTAATTATTAAGTTCAATATATATTTAAAAACTTTACAGTTTTTCATAAGTTTTTAAAATTTTTTGTTACATATTAATTAAAAAAAAAAATTATTAAATTTAAATTTATATAAATAAAGATTTACTTTAAATTTTAAGAAAGCAATGAATATAAGGATAAAAATAATGATGAAAGTAAAGATAAAATAATTTGGAATAATTATAAATTGGATTATATGTCAAATTAGAGTAAATTCTAATTTAATCATATAATGTTGATCATAAAATCACATGATATTTATAATTCATCCTAATTTATAGTTGTATAATTAAATAAAAAAAATAAAATAGTTTTATTATAAATAGAATTTTAATTAATGACAAATTTTGTTAAGATTTATTAAATATAGATTATATATATTTTCAAAATCAAATGTATGGTCTTGAAATTAATTTTTGAGAAAAAATCTTGAAACAATTTTTATAGAAAATAAAATTATTTACTTAAAACTTGAATTTTTAATACCAAATATAAATTTTTTTTAATTAAAATATATTAGATTAAGTACTTTTTTATATTCATATATAGAATAAATATTTTAAAATTTCAAAATCCTGAAATGTTCAAAAATTCAAAATCAATTTTGAAAACTTATGAATATGTAAAATTTTCATTTTATGAATTTTTATAAATAGAATATTTAATTTGTGCTATCAATAGGATTCTAATTTTTGTCTAGTATACAAGTAATAAATACATAATTTGTAATTTATAATTACAGGTATCATCTTTACTTGAAACTTTTCTTTTTAAAAATTCAACCATTCTGTTACTTATTAGAGTAAATATAATTACTGTATATAAAATATAATTATTTGTCATTTGTCAATTGTTTTAAAGTTCTTTATGTACTTAATAGAAATCAACTCAAAACCATTTTGAAAGTCACATGCATATAACAACATTACTTATTTATTTACTTACTTCCTTATATTTATTAATCAATTTTTCTCACTAAATTCAAGAACATTTTATTTTTGGTTCAAGTTCACACTTATTTAAAAAATACACTATATATATATATAATTTTGTATTCAAAATATTTGTATATGTTTCCTAATACTGAAAAAAATGCAAGTTAAAACATATGGTTTTACAAATGTGTTTGCTAAAATGTAAAGAAATTCATGAAAAGCAAAAATAATAATAATGAATATTTTGATCAAGAACAACTGAAGAATAATCTAAAAAAAAAATACATGATTTAGAGATTCTAAAATACTTACTATGTGATATTAAATCATTTGCAATAAATTTTACTTTAAAGGTAACATATTTTATATCAATATTCAAAATAGTTGATATCAAAAAAGATCTATCATTTCCCTACCTTTATATATATATATATATATATATATTGATTATTATTATTTACTGTTAACAATTTAGCATTAATTGTTTGATAATAAAGATAATTGCATTATTATTAATTATGAAGAAGATTATTCAAAAGATAAAATGATTTTTTCGTGAATAATTAATATTATGAAGTTATTTTAACATAGTATAATAGAAATGCATTGATTCAATAATTATGAATTATCAAATGTTTATACATCGTTAATAATAATTAAAAATATCCGATCAACATTAATTATACATCACATAAAGAATGTTATTTATCAGTTTTAATTGATACGGGTAATAATAGCTTACGGTAATAATGACTTTTGGTTATTATACCAAAATTTATTATACCAAATAATTACCATTCCATCCCATTAATATCGGTTCATGTTTCATTAACACTTCTTGCTCTGAGATTATACTAAAAATTAAACGATAATATTTGATGCAATTAAATAATTATTACTAATATAAATGAAAATATAAATGAAAATATAAATAAAATATAAAATAGTTTAAATAATATTTACTCTAACATTACTATTTTTAATAATAGCCTTGGGTTTAGGTTTTGGTTTTGGTTGTCGCGTTTGTTTTCGTATTGTTTTTGTTTTAGTTGTCGTAGAAGGAAATAGATTATTATCTTTACTTGAATTAAGATTTTTCTTCTTATTATTCTTAGTATTGGTTGTCATGGATCTAGTAACTCGTCCACCTGTCTTCGCCATGACTGTTAAAAGTTGAGAATTTAAAATGTAGTTGAGAAGACTAATCCTGAGCTTTAAGTCAAAATTAATTAATTTGAAAATTTTTTTGAGTTGGGTTAAATGTTATTAAAAATGTAACTTTCAGATTTTTTTTCAAATATAATTTCTTTTAAGGACTATTAATTAGATGTTCCACAAAAATGAATATCAATTAAACATGTGATTAGAAATTTGAATTATTACATTATTATACATTTATTACAAATTACATTTTAGAGAAACCATTCTCTTACAATAAAACAGCATTAATAAAAAGTCAAATAACACGATAATATATAAATTATTATCCATAAAGTGTTATTCTAAAATAAATTTATTAAAGAAAATAATCTCATAACAGAAAACCATTGCGTTTTTTTTTTGGTGAAATTAAATAATCACCTTTTGATATATGCTATTGGATTTTGTTAAGATTTATTATTATATTATTATTTTCCTTTAGAAGATTATTAAGTTTTTAGATATAATTTAAATGATTCATTTCTTTAATCCATCAATAATTTGCAATCGAAGTTTAGAACAAATTTGGTTTGATAATAACGAAACAATTTAAAATTCAAAGTCTCCATTTCCTTTCTGAAAAAGAAAATCTCTACCATTTACTGACATAATACCGTCTTTTAATTGACACTTCCATTTATTTTTTGTACGTGTAACCTGTGAATGAATAGTGAATAATGAAAGAATTAAACCGTGAACAATGAATAAACAGTAATAAACGAGACAAACGAAATACTACCTTATCATACAAGCATAGAATAATATTTTGTGTATCCTCGCCTTCCGTGGCACCTTCATCATCTGTATCATCGAGATCAGAATTAATCGCATCTTCCCCAGAAAATACGTCGGTTTGCCTTGATTCCCTATTTGCCAAATCATAGGTTGGTGGCTGTGATGGTGGTTGCTGTGGTGGCTGTTGTGGTGGTTGTTGTGGTGGCTGTTGTGGTGATGGTTGTGTGAGTACTTCTCGAGTAGATTCACCCGTACGAGGAATTTGTCTTTCTTTTTCTTTTATTCTTTGTCCGATGTACATATCGATTTCCTTTGATTCCGGATACACGGCATAAAAAAATCGCATAGGAATTGATTCGGGATAAAATCTAGCGAATTGTATATTATAACGCGAGATTCGCTACCAAAAATGTGTGAATCCGAACCTGTTGTTGTTGTTTCCCCACTGTCTGATGATGAAAATATGAAAGATTTTGATCTACTACGGTATTATTATGCGATGCTAATTTTTTTTTTTTTTTTTTTAAAAAAAAAAAACAATAAATACAATATTACGATATCAATTATTTATATAAAATCATAAAAATAAAAAGGGTATTGTTAAAGCTCACCGGGGGGTGATCGTCACCACAGGCAAAATTACATAATTCCCTGATCATCCTCTAACTCCAACTTTGCCCACGTAAATTTAATTTTGCCTGGTGGTGACAATCACCGCCGGTGAGCTTTAGCAATTTTCAAATAAAAATATTACCTTCGGTCTGTTGGTTATCGTACATCATTCCATATTTGGTTATATTGTCGGTTGCAGTTGTGGAAGGTAATGAATTACCATTACCATTTTTAATCTGTGGCTAGTTTTTTTTTTTTTTGGTGGTTTCAAGTATACAATGGGCAACGAAACAAACAAATAAAAATACTCTTTCAAGCAATCAAAAATTAATTATCTGGACATTACCAGATAAGGCTGAGGAGCTCTTCCCACTCCGTTACTATTATCAGAAATAATCGTTTGAGTTGCAAGAATTGAAAGATTTGCTGCTGCTGTTTCGCCTTTAGGCATGGAATCATTTTGTGGCATTTGTGGTGGTTGTGGGTAAGGATTAGATGTACTTGAAATACCGTTTACAATTTGATTAGGTTCTTCAAGAATTCCTTCATTCTGGTCCCAAGGTGCGACCCTTGCACTTTTAACCTTTTCTTTCCATATCTTAATAGATTTATTACAAAAAAAAAATAAAATAAATATAATTATTATTTAAAAATTATAAATACATTATCTGGTATAATAAAATAAAATTTTTGAAATTAATTCTTAATGAAATACACGGTTCTGATACTCACATTATGTAGAATTTTTAAAACGTCCTCATCAACTCCAGAATCATCAAAATCTTTTTTTACATTTTCAATTACGTCATTTATAACTGAGTTATAAATAGTATACTGAAAAAAATAAAAAAAAAAAAACCGAAAAATATGTATGGATATTTTATCAGAATTATTAACACGACTCTAAGAAACTATAATCTTGAATAATCATCGTTTCTATTTGCGTGAAATATCAAAAAACGTTACCACAATACTGTTTGACATTACTAAGTCTGTATAGGTAAGATGTTAAATATTTTTTTTATTTAAAAAATTTGATTTTTTTTTCACGTCAATATTATAAGCACGCGAAAAAATTCCAAAGAAAAAAGCTTTTATATATGGATACCTGACCTGAAATTTTTATGAGAAAAGCTCTATTTATACTCTTTGATGGGATCAAGAGGTATGGGAAATTGGAAAAAAAAAAGGACAACTTTAGTGAAAAATCAGGTCATGTGTTGATTTAGTGTGACACACTGTCAAAGTATTATCGATCATTATAAAAAGAAAGAAATTTAGAGAATCATTATATTATTTATTATATTATTATATTTTTAATTCCTCGGTTTTACATTCAATAGGTTATTGTATATGTAACTTATAAATTAATTTTTAATTAATTTAATTTACAATAAATAAATAAATAAATAAATAAATAAACCAGAGGTAAAGTTATTATTTTTATTAAATTAAATTTATAAATTTATTAAACCTTTTGTTTTTGAGATAATAACACCTTTTTTTGTTCGTAAGTCTTCTATTCTCTTTAACATTTCATATCTATGTAATAATCCATCTCTAGCTGCAACACTTAATACACCCGCAATCAATTCTATACCTCTAACTGAATCATCATTAGCTGGTATAGGCCAACTAACTTTCATTGGATCAAAATTGGTATCTACAATTCCAATTGTAGGAATATTACATTGTTTTGCTTCTTTTAATACAATTTCATTTTCAACTGGATTTAACAATATTATTAAATCGGGGGCATAAACTTTTGTTAATAAATCTCCTTCCTTTTTTGTTGTTAAATAACCTAAAACTTGTTGAGAATTGGTTAAAGTACCAGGTAACCAACGAGTTGTAAGTTGAAATTGTTTACATCTTTTTGCTGCTTCTATGGCTGCACGTGCGTATCCTCCTCCACGTGTGTTGACAAATAAAATTATTCCCCCACGATAACTTATTTCTCGAACAACTTTGCATGCACGACGTAAATAGATAAATGTATATTCGAGATTTATAATGCTAATATCATGACGAGTACCATATATGAATGGAAATGTAGAAGGATTCCACAAGGATTTAGAATGACCCAAATGAAGGCCAGCCTTTAAGAGAGACGAAAGTGTTAAATCATAAGGGGAAGAAGGTGAATTTAAAGTTTTATCAGGAGAATCAAAAGGAACTTTTATTGAACCAATTTTTTTAAGAAAATCTGGCACTAGATCATAAAAATATGAAAAAAAATACAAGAAATAATTGATTTTAAATAAATATAATATAATAAATATTGAAAATAAATACCATAAAAAATAATTTAATCTTAATTTAATTTACCATTGTCAATTAAAGATTGTTCAGGAACAGGAGGAGTCCAAAGCATTGCTTCGGCAAACCTATGTGAAAATTCATCTTTAAATCTATTCTCGAAATTCTTTGAAGTCTGTGTTTTGGTTTCATTATTTGATGCAGTAGCTGCATTGATAATGGTTTCTTTATTATTTTTAAGATCGAACATAGTTGACAAGCTACAACATTGTAAGTCGTTAAAGAGTTTTCTGGTTGAAAAGGGAAGTTTGGAATGTGAAGCTTATAGCATTTTTTAAGTCATGACATGATAATGATGAATAAATTAGATAGCGTTTTTTTTTATAAGGCATTAAGAAGACATAAATTTGAGGTTACCGTTTAACCCTACTAACACTACCTTTTACGCGAACATTCCAACTTAAAACATTACTCGGAATAGGTCGCATATCCAACAATAGATAAACTGATAATCAAATAATAATTCTTTTTGATTTTTTAATTTTGGTCACGTGTTATAATTAATATATATATATAGTTCATCTGAAATTTTAATTAACATAAAATATCGTTTAAAAATGAAGGAACTTTACACCGAAACATCACAATATCGTAATTGGAATTATACAAAAGAAAAGTTACAAGAAACTCGTAAAATCAACCACAAATTAGCAGTAAAACGAGTGAAGAAGAAGATAATGGAAGAATCGGTCAGTAAATTATTGTTTAGAAATTTTCATTTAAGAGATTGCATAAATTTTTCTAAATTAAAAATTCACAGATTTTACAAAAACAAATGTCCGAAAGCTCTTCACCTGCGTATAGTGAACAAGGTGAACGCGTTAATTCTCCTCGCGTAAATTCTCCAAATTTGAACCCGTCTGAAATAGAATATCTAACGGTAGAAGACGAGTTGGCCTTGTGTAAGTATTATCAAACTCAAATACGTGCAATGATCAATCAATTCTCTGCTGAAATTCGCGATAATAAGTTTACAGATAAAGTTTGGGTAATTATTAAAGTTTAAAGTTTTGAATCTTCTTTAAAATCAAATCATAAAAAATTTTATTATTTCATTTATAAGGCAACTGCGGTTACTTTCGTCAAAAGATTTTACTTGCGAAATACAGTAATGAATTATCATCCTAAGGAAATTATGTATGAATTATTATAATCTATGAAAGCATATAAAAGTTTAAAATTAACATAAATGAAATAAATAGAGTTACATGCCTTTTTCTCGCCGCCAAAAGTGAACATTCTTTTGTTTCTATTGATGAATTTGTAAAAGTCTCCAAGGTTCTAAAAACCCGTATATTTGAACTTGAATTGGTTGTATCCGGAAGTTTAAGATATGAATACACAGTTCATCATCCATTTATATCCGCATTCGGATATTATTTGGATATGCAGGTAACTACTAAGGATTGCTCTATAATTTTTTTTTTTGTCAGATATGATTTTGTTACTACTTTTTTTTTTTTTTCTCAAATATAGAATGTTATTAAAGATACGAACAAAATCAAATCGATTTACGAAAAATCTATTGGTTTCATTAAAGCATCCATTTTAACTGATGCAATGTTCATTTACCAACCATCACAAATTGCTTTGGCAGCATTAAGGATGGCTGCAAAACAAGATAAATTTGATTTGTCCAAGTAAGGAAATTAAAAATATATTAAGAATTTTTTTTTTTTTTTTAATCATTAATTATTAAGTATTTTTTATTTTTTTATTTTATATTTATATTTTAGTTATCTACGATACAAATTCAAGTCAGATTCTCCTAAAAAAGTTGAATCATTATATAAGATACTGGATGACATCGATGGAACCATTAAAAACCAGGAACAAACTACTTTCGAACAAGCAAAACTAATTGATAAACGTTTGCTTAGATGTAAAAACCCCGAGAAAAATCCAAATAGTGCAATGTAGGTTAAACTGTTAAAATCCACATTTATAAATCTAATATATTTCTATTAAATTTATTTCCAAATTAATTTTTGTAAAGTTCAAGAAAGAGACGCCTTGATAAAGAAGCGAGCGTAGAAGCAGAACGAAGAAAAAAAAAGAAACACGAGGATGAATATCAAAAAGAAACATCCTCGGTGTTTAATTAGTATTCAATTGATGTAAGAAATAATCAGCACAACAATCACCTGCAAAATCTTTCCTTTTCAATACATCCTTACAAATTAGTTAGCATTCTTAATTTGGTTAAATGGTTAAAAAATTCTTTATATACAGTTTGGTTTGTAAAAACCATTATAATAGAATATTGTATATATTTCATTAATTACCTAATTTTACTTATTTTATTAATTAATCAAGTTTTTTTATTTTTTATTTTTTATTTTTTATTTGTTAGAATTCGTCATTTTGTCAACGTGCCCATTTTAGATCATAGATTAGATTAACATCAATAAATTTTGTACGCAAGATGATACAATATTAATTTTTTTAGTTAAATTAAGTGAAACATAATTCTCATGTTTATCGCATGCTAGATATTTACATCTTTTATGGTTGTGTCACATTACACTACAGGGGATACGAATATTAAATAGATCAAGATAAAAATTTTTCAAATCTTCTTCTTCCTCACGAAAGTTGTGATTATCATTAGTTAACAAACTTTACTTAATAAACGATTTAGTTCCATCCTCCACCTAAAATCATTCTTTCTAACTTCAAAATGACAATATCCACTAATAATAATGATGGAGTTGCTGAAGAATTGACTCATTTACGATATCTTTTAAAGACTGTCAATGATCGTATCGATAAAATTGAAGCCGATACAAAAAAACCTTCCCTTAAACAGAAAGAACAAGATTCTGGGTTGAGGATGGTACTTATGGGTCCACCTGGGGCTGGTATGATTAATAATAATAATAATAATTATTATTATTATTATTTTTGAAAGTTAATGAATTTTTCTTTGAAATCTTTTGAATTCTTCATTTAATTTTACATTTTTTTGTTTTTTAATCATTTAAATATAGGAAAAGGAACCCAATCGCCGAAAATTAAAGAAAAATATTGTGTTTGTCATTTAGCTACTGGAGATATGTTACGTTCCCAAGTTGCAGCTAAAACAAAACTTGGTTTGGAAGCTAAAAAAATTATGGAATCCGGAGGATTGGTATCTGATGAAATCATGGTTGGAATGATTCATGATGAATTGAAAAATAATCCGGAATGTAAAAATGGGTAATTTTTTATTTTTTTTTTAAAAAAAAAATAATAATTATAAGAGAATTTATGAATTTGTGAATTTCGTTTTTTTTTTTTAATTTAATCATATTTTTATAAATTCAGTTTCATCTTGGATGGGTTTCCTCGTACAGTACCTCAAGCACAAAAACTTGATTCTATGTTAGAAAGAGACAAGCAAAAACTTGATCATGCTGTTGAACTTATTATTAATGATAACTTATTGGTCTCGCGTATTACTGGTCGTTTAATTCATCCACAGAGTGGGAGAACATATCACAGAATTTTCAAGTGAGTAGGGATTAAAATTATTATTTAAATAAGTTGTTTTCTCCCACATTTTCAATTTGAAAATTTTATAACTTTATATAAATCATTTTTTTTTTAGTCCACCAAAGGTTCCTGGTAAAGATGATATTACTGGTGAACCATTAATTCAACGTTCGGACGATAACGCTGAAGTTTTAAAAAAGCGATTAGCTACTTATCATCAGCAAACTACCCCTGTAGCGGAATATTACAAACAAAAGGGTATTTGGTCAGGTGTCGACGCATCTCAAAAGCCAAATGTAGTTTGGGCAAGTTTATTAGCCATATTTGATAAGGGAAAAAACAATTAATGAAATAGAGAGATGAAATAAATATTATAATAAAATATAATTAAAATATATAACTATTTTTTTATTGTAGAATTTAATTTTAACTTATTACTATTAAAGTCAATTTAGAGATTCATTTTTTTAGTTCAAATCCATTTCAAAATTATTATAATTATTACAATTAAATTATTAATGATGCAAAAAATCATTACAGCTGTTTGTTAAAATATAATTATAGTCTTAAATGCTAGAAAATTATCAATTCAATATCACCGATTAAGCGACAGAAATATTCCCAAAATCACTTTAAAAATAGACAAAAATTTTCTATTAAATTAAATATTGTAACATTAATGCTATTTTAATAATTGGCACTGGTCAAAATAAAATTTCCAGAATTAGCCATCCTATTCAATTATCTATTCTTTTATATTTATTGCTTAAAATCAATCAAGTACTCATCTTAGAGAACTTAAGCAACCTAACTTCTAGGATGACCTGGGAGAGTAAGAGATTTATTGCACAGGTCACATTTGTCACCTATCTGATAGAGTAGATAGGCGATAGATAAGGTGTAGTAATATTCAGATATCTACTACTTTTACATCATATATTAGTAACATTTCAACCTGTATTTTATAAATTACAAATCCACTATCTTCTGGATAAACTTTTAATAGAAAAGGGAAGGAATCATATTATTAGATCAGAATTGAAAAAAAAAAAAACATTTGTCTCTTTATCGAACTTAAAAAGTTTGAAAAATCTCCTTTTGAGCTTTTATCTATATCTAATGCTCACAATTTATAATAAATATTTATTAAGAAAATTTTGTATATAGAATGTGGATCTATGAAGGTCAAAAATTTAGACAAATGAAAATAATGCATTCATGATAAGGAAAATAAAAAGCCTTTTTATACACATGTTAAAAAATCATACTATTTACAAATATTTCAAAACTAGAACATGGAATTTTAATAAATAATTATTGTAAGAAAGAATGATTAATCTGCAATATAATTGTGATATAGGATAATTTTTGAAATTTTATAATTGTTCAGTTTTTTCAACTGGATTTCTCGTTTGTTTCGGGAACTTAAGAAACTTTAAGAAATCCTAAGTTTATAGATAGTGATTTGTACTTATTAGGTGTATACTATCAATCATTCTCATAAATATTTCTATAATCATCAAAAAATTACTTATTATTCTTGTGAATGAATGAAAGTGAATTCTAATATAAATATAACAGAAAAGATTAAGTTGTTAGACCTTGGATAAAATGTCTGGAACTAGCGGAAACCGTTTAAACCCAAATCATGTGTAAAAAAAATAAGGATTAGACTAAACTAACTAAACTATTAATTCAAATCATTGGTTATCACTTTCTTTACTACTTTACTTTCTATACTACTTTACAACTTAGATTAGTGAAAATTTAGAATATTCAAAAATTTGGATATTCTATTTGTGAATCTACAGTTTATTTAAAAATCGACTATTTTATTCTCATATTTAGCAAAACTTATCTAAAATGTTTACATTTTTATTCCCACCATAAGTACATATGTACTGTATTAGTCAGATTAGATAAAAAAAACATAGGTTTTTGCAAAAAGTTAAAAATTTCAGCCAATCGATAAGTGGATATAAATTAATCAGCTGTTACAATACAATTGCAATATATTGTGGCGAAACGAGGCTTTACATTATAAAAAGTTGTTTCGTATGCATTTCACAGTTCATTCTTAATCTTTTTACTTGATTGACGATGCCTTCCACGGATCGCCAAACCGCCTTGGATTTATTTAAGTATGTATTTTTTTACTTTTCCTAACATCCAGTTTACGTTCATGATTAAATTGGTCGTTTGCTTTTACTAAGTTTACTTCTATAAATATGTTTATTTATAATTTTACTAATGTTTCTTTAACCTTTCAAAATACCTTTAGATCTTCGGTTGAGCTTGAGGATAAGCTACGCCAGGTTTCGAAACAAAAACCACCATATGATAAAGAAGTAACAACTTTGCGTATCAAGTAAAGTCAATATTTTTAAATTGGGTTTCTTTTTTTTTTTTTCTTTACTGTACAAGGTGTTAACAAATCCAATATTCTTTTTATCAAGTTTGCGTGACCATTATGAAAGAATCATTTTCCTCGATTTTGAATTTTCGCAGTCTAAAGAGATTGAACAGATTTTATGGAAGTATGTGTATTACAAGTTCATCGAGGATTATAGAAAGAGGATTCGCGCTGTGAGTATATTATAAATATATATTCTCTTGTTGATTTCATCGATTGTTCATTTCAATTTCAACACAAATTAAATTTTAATTAAACTATACATTCTTTTATTAGGCTTCGACCAACAGTGGAAAACCTAAAGGCACTTCCCGAAGGTTAACTAGTGCGTTCCGTTCATTCCTGCAGGAAGCAACTGGTTTTTATTACTTTTTCATTCAGAAGCTCGCCCGTCATTTTGGGTTGGAACAGTTGAATCCGATTATTCAAAAATTCGGATCGACTTTAGGTAATTTATTATTTCAAGTATAATATTATAATTATTATGATATATAATAAAATTTTCATATTAATAATGACAATTCATTTAGAATCTACGGATTTTTCTAAAGACTCGTATAATTTTGATATTAAACAACGAGCCGTACTTAGTTGTCATAAAAGTTTAATCTTTCTTGGGGATCTAGGTATTTGTTTTTACCTTTATTTTGTATAACAATTTATATGTTTTATTTATTATCCTAAATATCTTTTATATTAAATTAGCACGTTATCGTGAATTACAAAATGACAAGCCACGTAAAAATTGGTCTACAGCTTGCGATTATTACAATAGTGCAAGACAATTAATTCCTGATAGTGGTAAGTATTTATATAATATAAACCCTTAAATTTTATAATAATTTATATATAATATATTTTAATTTTAATATTCTTACAGGAAATCCCCATAATCAATTGGCGGTTATTGCAACCTACAGCGTAGACGAATTTGCCGCCTTCTATCATTATTATCGAAGTCTTGCTGTTAGGTATCCATTTTTAACAGCTAAGGATAATATAAGCTTTTTGTTCCAAAAGGCAAAGAAATCTGCTATAGATACTCCAGAAAGTGTTCATGAAAATAATAAACGAGATCAACGTGAAAATGGGAGTAGACGGCGTTCTTCCCATTCTCGTCAAATGATGTCACCTGTTAATGCAAATAAAATGAAAACTGCTGAAACCTTACAACCATTTTTCTCGGATTTCATTCGATTACATAGCATTTTATATCTGAAAACAGAGTGAGCTTTTTGAATTTATGAAATTATCGAAAAATTCTTTTAGTTATAAATTAAAATCTTTTAATTATTTTATAGCATTGAATCATATTCTGAATTGAAGACTTCTGTATTGAAACGATTAAAAGAATTCCTTCTAGAACGCGTATTGGATGTCGATCAACTCTTAAAATTTACTGTTATCAATATGGCCGCCTTATACGTAATTCGTCATATTTCCAATGTTTCTACTGGTGAGTTTTCTAATTTATTTTTCATTTTTTTTTTTTTTACTATTTCTAAAATAGTAAAAATCTGGTTTTTTACGTCAATTATCTTTATTCAGGGGAAAACGGACACACTAATTCTAGTCCAAAGACTCAACCAATTTATAACCAAGCTTCAAAGAAAGCCCTGGTCGAAAAATACGCCGTCTTAATGATTTTGGGCACCCTTTCAACTTTGTTAGAAATGTGCAACTCCGAATTAATCGAAGTTGAAAATACTGAGGAAAGACGCAACGCCGTACAAGCTCTTCCTGCTCCTGTCAAAAGAAGTTTGATGTCCATTCGAGTTGGTGTAAAATGGGTTTATTCAAATCTCGAATATCTTGCTTCAATGTCAACACAAATTTCCAATGATCCATTTGTTAAAGATGAGTTTTCGAATTTTGCGAAATTTTGGGACCAGTTTGCTGAATTCCTTAACACAATGGAGCGACTATTTCCTAATGAACAAGGCATTCCTCTCGATGTTCCATTGACAGAGGATGTTGAATTGAATGGATTTTCAGTTTTAAAGAATCAATTATTTCTTAATGATCAAGTAATAACTAAAGTAGGCGAGCCATTTGAAGAAATGGATATGCGCGTTCACAATATATATGATGATGCATGCAAAATCGCGAAATCTGATGTTTGTATTTATATTGAAAATCTATTTTGGATTTACCTCGCATTCTTAATCTTACAAAAAATTTTGATTTCAGTTTTCACAAATATTCTATGCCGACGGGACCTTCAGTTCGAATACTCTATCTGGCGAATCTAACTCTGCTTCTCCGGTTAGCACCTCCAGTGCTCCCGAAAATCAAGTTTCGGATGATACATATATGGAAGATAGAGCTGCCGGTACAAATACAATTGCTGACGCGGAACGTGACGATACAAATGCAGCTGGTTCTCAATCATTTGTAGATAGCAGTCCTAATGGGATGACAAATGAATCTGCCGAAGATGAAGATGCAGAAGAAGAAGTAATTTTATTTACGGGACGTCACCCTTCAAGGTATATTTATGACAAATTTAAAGCTTACTTAAATAAATGTTTATTTAGTCTTATTAATCATAATAATTTATTTTTTTTTAAATTTTTATACGGACAGTTTTAGCAACGGACAAACTTTTGAAAAATTATCAAAACATTCCTCAACTGTGTCGCCAAATAATACTAATTCTACGAATCCTAACGATAATCTTAATCCTAACAATCATTTCAATCCTAATAATCATACAAATAATGCAAATCTTAATAATTCTAACAATCCTACCACCGCCGAAGTTTTATTGAATCAAGTTTTTACGTCAAATCAAAAGACATCTTCGACCTTACCAAACGGAAGTTCCAATGATTCGAAAAATTACTGGAATAATTATTTCAATACACAACAATTATTTCCAAGTACAAACGCCATTTCCGATGATCCTTTACCATTTTCCATTTCTAATACGACTACTGGAGTTCCCAATGCATCACAAGATCCTTTAGTTTCTCCTAAAAAACGTTCGTCAAATGAATTAAAAGCAAAAGCCTCATCATCACAACAGAATCCCATCACTTCCACATCCAGTGCATCTTTGTTTGCTTTTCCAGGTACTGACGGCGGGGTGTCTCAATTCGATTTGTTTGGTAACTCAAACACTGGGCTTCATAATTATCTGAGTACTTCAACAAATCCTTCAATTAAACCCAATGTCATTACACCTGCAATTAACCCACCACCAGGATTTTTAACTGAATCTAATAATTATGATTTTCAACGACAAAATCAGAAACAAAATGATTCATTTAATCAACCATTTCAAACATCCAATGCATTTGGATTTTCATCTTTTGATTTATTACGATGGAACGAAAAATATAAATATACAAACGAGTTAACTGATCTATCCAATAATGGAAATCAAAATCTTACTCCAACTGCTAAATTGCCAAATGGGACTTTACCAAGTTCACAAATAACCAATGACACCCATGACAAATTCCGTCATTTTCAAATTGGTTGGACTCCAACATCTATTGGCTAATTTTATAATAAAATTACAATGACGAATAAAAAAAACGGTGCCAATCCGAAGAAATAATCTATTGCCACGTTATTATGGACGATGCCCAATGAAATTGCATAACGCGGAACGCGACTCAGGCTTGTCAACGTTTCTCTGAAGATTCATCAGTGAACTTTCTTGCTTGCAGGGGAAATAATATCCCATTTCTGAAGGTTGAAAAAATGCAGATTCCGTCGTTAATTTCCTTTCTTTGTATCGTTCCATAATGTAATTTTCCTTTTTCTTAACATAGACAAATAAGAATAAATTATAGTTACGCTTTGAGAATTTTTTTTTTTGTGAGCTCATTATTTTTTTTTTTTATTTATCATATATTCTACCAAACCAAATTTTACAAATTTTACAAATTTTACAAATTTTACATTTTCGTAACAATATTTGAACTCTTTAAGCACATGTTTAAAATATTTCTGTAGTGATTACACTTTTTTATTTAAATAAAAAAAATTTTTAAAAAAATGACATTCCTTTATATTGTTTCTACCTTTATTGAAAATATGCTGATATGTAATTATATATATATAAATTCTAAAGTTTCTTTTTTTCGATAGATGCAACGAAGACTTTACAATAGAATGAATAGAATGTTACATTTACAACATTTTCAACATTTTTAAGGAACCCAAATTTCGTTAATCATTGATATAATTTTTTTCTCTGCAAATGAAACCATCATTTGATCCGCATTTGATGGTAAATTAAAGCTAACGAAAAATTGTTTTTTGAATTTAGTCGCTATAAAAAAAAAATTTAATTAAAATGTTAACCGGTCATTTTATTCAATGTTAACAGCCTCAAAAAAAAAAAAAAAAGGAATGATACTACCAAGTTTCTGTCCAAATTGTTTAGAAGTTTCAGTTATATCTTTTGCTAATATAGTTGTGGCTGAAGCTTTGATAATATTATTATTATTCCTTGAACTTATGGGAGGCATTGCAACTGCCAAATTTCCCAAAACTTCATTCTCAGCGACACCAACCCATATGAAAGCAGAATTTTCAAAGGTTGTTATTTGAAAAAGAACATTTTGATTAATAAACGATTGTGTAGAATTATAAACTTTAAAAAGAGGGGTAGTTGGTTCTGAAGGCATATTTAATCAACATAACTATTTCTCGGGATCTGTTTTTTTTTTACTTTTATTGTGAAACCAATGTAATTGGTAATTTGTTTTTATCAATAAGAAAATAATTATTCAACAAATGTCTTCTTTAAACGTTTTACAAGAGGAAACGGAGGAAAGCCCTCTACTTTCAAATAATGTAACTATTATTTCACTACCAAGTCGTCTAGAAAAAATTCGAAAACCTCACGTTCTATGGATGTTAATATTCAGCATTACTTTGTCTTCCATTCTAACATCAGTAACAGCTCCATTAGGTCTTTTACCTAAATAATTTAATGATATATTATGATATATTTGATGATATTAAAAAATTAAAAAATAAAAATCCTTTTTATAATTTGAATTTATATATTTGATCTCCAGTGCGTTTCGTTTTAGACATTGTATGCTTAGAATATTACAATGAAAAGAATGTAGATAGCACCTTGACTCCTCCGAGTGAGGAAGATTGCAACATAACAGAAATATCAGCTTTAGCTTCTAAATATTTAATGTGGTATCAAATGTTTTCATATCTTGCAGGTTTATAAATTATGATTCTTTAAAAATTCGACATTTTGTTTGTTTTATTTGAAATAAATTAATTAATTAATTAATCAATTGTTCTTTATTTTTTGTTGTTTTTAAATTTCTAGCAACATTATCTATAGGTTTTCTTTCAACACTTTCAGATTATAAAGGTCGACGATTTATATTTAAATTGGCAACTTTGGGTGTAATAATAGCATTTTCTAATATAATTTTCGTATATCATTATTGGAGAATCGTTAGTGTTAAATTTTTATTTATTGGAGCGATATTTGAAGGATTATCTGGTGGTGTAATCGCGATAAATACGGCATGTCATGCATACATAAGTGATTGTACTAAGCCGGAGAATAGAAGTATGGCATTTGGAATAATGCACGCTTTTGCTTTTTGTGGAATGACAATTGGGCCGACTTTGGGTGGTATAATAGTCAAGGTATGGGAATGAAAGGTTAGCTTCGATAAATTGAATGAAAAATTCACTTACAAAATTTCAATTTATATTCATTGGTATTATTTTATTTTCTACATAGTCAACGAAATCTGTGATATCAATATTTTACTTTGCAGTGTGTACACTCTCTTTCTTTTTAGTATTTGTATCTTTTATATTGCCAGAATCTCTTTCAAAAGAATTGCGTCTTCAAAGACGTGTATTATCATCTGTGTCATCAAGATCACCGAGACATTTATTCTCTTCCTTAACTATCCTCAATCAAGAACCAATGGACTGCGGTGAAGAAGAACGAAGAAATTCATGGAGCGGCAGAAATACTATGTATATTCTTGCTATGATTTATTTAATATACAGATTATCACAAGCTGGTTTGCATTATTTAATTTTAAATATAATAAATGTTTTCGAACAATTCGATCTTCATAAATTAACAATTTAATTTAATTTTAATTTTAAAAAGGTCAAAATGACATCATTACATTATATACAACGCAAAGGTTTAATTGGTCAACTTTAGAAAATGGATTCTTTTTATCACTTCAAGCATTTACTCGTTTCATAGCATTAATTGTACTCTTACCACTATGTCGCTTATTACAAACCAAATATCTTTCGTCATACTCTCGTTCCCTTGACATTCACATGACGAGAGCTGGTTTGATAATGGAAATAATTGGATTCGCATTATTTGCAAGTGCAATTGTACCAAATATGTTATATTTTGCTTGCGTGATAAATAGTTTGGCTACTATAGCGACTCCAGCAATAAGAAGTTTATTTACGACGTATGTACTTCCTACACAAGCAGGTCAAGTATTAGGGGCCATGAGTGTTATCGAGAGCGTGGGAAGTATATTTAGTCCTCTTTGGATGAATCCACTATATAGCTGGTCAGTTCGAAAAGATTTTTCCGAGATTGTTTTTTGGGCGAATTCATTGTTATTTGTTATTGCTAGTTTTTTGGCATTTTTAATTCGGTAGATTTTGGTGACGTTATAGAATATAATAATTTTATTCATAGACTTGATTAAAGTCTATATATTTAAAAATATTTCAATTCAAAATTCGATCTTTTATATCAAAAAATGTTTTTAATTTAATTTTATTCAAAAGAAAAGGTATTTTATGATTCTAACGTAAAATTTAGGACCAGAACCTTAAAACTTCAACATAGAAGGGTAACCGTTCAAATAAAATAAAATAATACAAATAATAATCTACAATTTATAAAATTTATAAATACAATTGTCTTTTTGTTTATCAGAATAATATACATGTGAAATATAAATATATATATAAAAATAATAAAAGTTGTTTTTCATTAATCAATTAATTTAGCAAAAGCCATAGTATTTTTAGAAAAATAATCAGCTACGACACTGAAACCATCGTCCGCGTCCTTCAACTTTAATATAAAATAAGAATGTTAATTTATGTCTATTGCTTAAATTAAATAATTTAATTTTTTTTTTTATTTATTTATTATAAATACCTGTTCGAAAAATAATTCGTGTTTATCCGCATTAATCTCTTGTGATTTTCTTATTTCAAAAATCATACGATTTTGGATAGCACATTGTGGGCATTCACGATCAGACTCAGGTAAACAGCTAAATTATTATTAAATAAATATATAAATATATATATATATATATATATTTAAATCAAAACAAACGACAATAATGATCATTACTTACCGTTGATGGAATGAATGTTTACATAAGAAGTGCACGGCAGGTAAATCGAGTGATCCACGACAACCAGTACACTTGTTTACTTGGAAAATGCGAGCACTAAAATAAATAAAATGAAATGAATAAATATTTTTAAAAAAAAAATTTTTTACTAAGAAGTAATATACATACACGCTCTTTAATTCACCAATCTCTTTCTTTCTTTTTTCCGTTTCCTCACGATAACTTTGTATTAACTTATGATCCACTTGAGATTCTTTCCTTTCACTCTCAATCCTCTTTCCCATATATCCCTTGACCATTCCAAGTGTCGCCACAGAATTTCTACTAAGAGCCTGAACGACTTGTAATGGTGGTAATAAGTTATGTGAATCAATATAATTAAGAATTTCCAAAAGTTCATGTGTAGATGAAGCCAATGTTTTTGGAGATGATGAAAAATATGTTAAGGTTAATGGATAAAGTGCTTGATCCTGAGCCCTAAATGAAATGTAAAATTATTACATGTCCGTTCTTTAAAAAATAATTAAAAAAATAAAAAAATAAAAAAATAAAAAAATAAAAAAATAAATGTAATATTGATGATATTATTATACCCATATCTTTTTAATGCCTGTATAACTTTTTCGGTATTGTCTTTGGCCATATAAAACCTCAATATTTCTTCGTACATCTTCATTTTTTCGTAAAGATAAACAATACCCTCATCAAATTGTGCTAAATAACAAAGTACAAGAGCTTGATTCGTATCATATGCGACCTGTATGATAAGGAAGATCACGTCAACGGAAGGACATTTCATAAAAAAGATGAATTATCAAAACTTACTTCGTTGTCTTTCAATAATTGTAAGGCTTTTTCTTTTCTAAGTAATTTCTCTTTTACACGGTCAGTCTCAGTAGAAACGGAAAAGGTTCCAGGTGCTCCGTACTTTCTTCCTTTAGAATCTTTTCCGGATAAAACTACTGGCAAATAAGCCTCAGATAAATATAGCTCCAGAAGTGTATTCCATACAGCTTTTTTTTCTTCGGTTTCAGGATCATAATCATCAACAGAACTTTCTTCTACATTTAAATCATCGCTTTCATCTGAAATATTGGCATCATTCTTTATTATTTCAGCTTGTGAAGGTTTTCGAACCGAACCAAATCCACCCCAACGTTTTTGCGAAACTTGTTCCAAGAATTGAATAAGATAATTAGGTTGATCAACAAATAATGACATGAATGTGCGCACAGGGGGAGGTCTATAAGCAACACCGATTCGCTCTTTAGGAGGTCGAGAAGTGGAAGCTTGTGGTTCTGGTGAGGTAGAAGTGGGTGTTGCCGCTGCAACCGTATCATTCACTTTCACTTTCACTTCAGGAGATCGTGCACGTTGACCAGTTGAAGATAAGTCACCAGTACACAAATCAATAAGGAGTTGCGTCGTAGGTTGTGGAAGATGATTAAGGAGAATTTTTCCATATTTTTGCAAATTGCTGTTCGCCTAAAAAAAAATACATAATTATTTATGAAAATGGTTTTGAAAGGAATCAAAATATTAAGTTATCGAAATTATCTAACCTCATGGGATCCCAATTTACGAATATACTCTAATGCATTCTCATACTCTTTAACGTCTTCTATTTGTATTTTTAAATATCTTAAGAGAAAGAAATAAACTAATAATGAGTCAAAGTTTGCTATGATTTATTTACAATAAACACAAGTTAAATGCATACAAATCGTATTCTTGAAATTTTTTTGCCAAATATACAGCATGTTCATAATAGCCCGCTTGTCGACACACTTTTATAGCAGTTTCTAAATCAAAACGAAGCTCGTTATCTGTCTATTGATGCAAATGGAAAAATAAATTTGAATTAAAGATCAAAAATATAAAATATCGAATATAAAATTCCGAAAACGCGAACCTTAATAAATTGATCAAGACGAGCTACATCTTTTAACTTGGTATAACAATTTAACAACAGAGTGGTATGATCTGCATTAGCGAGACTTTTAGAATGCAATTCCTGAAGATAATTGACCAGATTATGGATGCGTTGTGCATCCAAAAACTGTAAAAATTATAATTTCATTAGAATTGAGTATTTTTTTTCTTTAATATTTAAAATTTACGGTAAAAACATTACCTTTCGAATGATATAAGATGGTTCAAGCTGACCAATTGTTCGAATATACTGTGCCATTGCTCCGTCATAATCTGTTTTGCTAAGAAAAACGAAATATTTCGATATTAGACATATGTAAATTAAATTAATTAAATCATATTATTCTGTAAAAAATACCTGTATAAATGATCGCCGTATTTCTTAAAAATTTCGGCGATACTTGCATCATCATATTTTTGACTATGTGCAAGATTAATTGCAAGCGAATATAAATTTTTTTTGAACAGTATTTCTAGTTTCGTTGGGGTATCTTTCTCTTCCAGACGGTATAACTTCAAAAATGGTTTTAAAAGTTAATCATTTCATCCTCTTCATCCACCCAGTTCATTCAAGGGTAATATACTGATGAGAGAAAAAAAAAACGCAAAAAAACCTTTCCGTCCATTCCGAGAATATATATTCCGCCCCATTCGCATGTAATTGTTCGTACGCCATGAGAAAATGTTCCCATGTATGCGATAAATTTGTTTGCGGTATCAAATATGGTTACTTTGGTGAATTCATAAGGAACAGATGGTTGCGAAGAATTTCCGGAACGTGATGCAGTGGTTAATCTGGTTGGTTGAGAGACAGGTGGGGAGACAATAATAAGATTTGATTTAAACCAAGTCACGGATGATTTTGCACCTAAATAAAATATATAATAATTTAGCTTTTTTTTTTTTTTTCCAAAGAAATTAATGTAAAATAGATTAATCATACCATCGTATGCAAAGCATGGTCCTCTTCCTTCAGGTCCATAAAAATAAATTGCCTATAAAATCAAATCAACTCTAAATTTTAATCAACGAGAAAAAAAGGGATATATTATTATTATTATTATTACTAACCTCATCTTTTGCGACAACCATTTCATGTGTTGTATCACTCATTACAGCACAACCCAAATCACAACCTTGTTCATCAAGAATTGTCTATTTATATGAAAATTAAAGTTTAAAAATAAATATAAAAATCATGAATTAAAATTTATCGTTGATTAAACTTACAACGGGTGACTTAGTCATAGTCACAGTAGTCAGAATTTTGCTGGTTGTCACAATAAATAGCATGACATTCTTGTTGTACTCTCTAAATCCAAGACCTTATACAAAAAAATAATTTAACTTATTTATTATTATTAAAGATTTAGATTTTCTAATAATAATATTATTAATATTATTATTATTATTATTATTACCTGTTATCGGTTCATCACTTTCATGAATAACTTTTTGCTTTGTATAACGATCTCTATACAGATCACCCTTAATTAATACAACTACTCCATTTGCCAACCCAACAGCAATCTGTCCCAAGTTTTCTAACACAGCTAACGTTGAAACCGGATGTGGCTTTCCCCCGTGATTTACTTTAATTGTACGTTGACAAGTAGGTGTACCTTTTGATTTGTCTTGTTTATCGAGATCCCAGATTTTGATAACTGGCGAATCTTCTTCCTATAATATTATAATATATTAAGTCAAATATGTTTTCGGCCATAAATTATGCATAAATTATTATTATACGATATATTATTTAAATTTATGTATAAAACGTACGCCTATCGTTAATAAAATATTTTTTTGTTTCATTTGTTTCATGTGAGTCACTCTCACTCCTTCATAGGCCAAAAAAGTTTGGACATTAAATGATCTATCAACAATGTGCACATGTCCAGAAGAATGTAATTGACAAAATTACAAATAAAATGCACATTTATCGTGCACATTATGTAATTGTCAAGAATAATATAAAATCAATTTTAGAAATTCAAATTAAAGTATATGCAAAAGGATATCAGCTAAGATTATGTTTCCGCGACCACTTGTGCTAACGGTTATGTCTGTTTTCTGTAATTGGACAAAAAAAAAGTGAAAAATTATTAACAAATTATTAAAAAACTTAAAGCTAAAAAAAAAGTACGATTATTGAAATTCTTGAAACGATCAATACTTGAAAGATTTCTGGTGGTTTTGTGGCGTCACGTTGGTCTTTGATCTGTTGGACATCAAAAAAATTGAATTGACGCCTTTAACGGAAAGAGTGAGTTCTTAACTAAAGTTGGTTCGTAAGTTTAAGGGGAAACAAAATAAAAAAATATAAGCTTACCACTGTTTTACAGAAAAAGAGCGCTCGCTCAATGTTCGCGAATGATGTCGAGCAGACATTTGGTTGAATACGTTATGCTATATTAAGTGGAATTTACTAAGATTTCTACGTAACACGAGATGAATATAATTTAGGTCCAGATTTTATCACGGGCTCTTGGGTTGTACAAGTTAATCTTTTTTCTATAGATCAGCTAAAAATTAGTAACAATCAACTGTCCTATTGCATCTTATATTATAATTAGCTAAAATCAAAATTCCTTTTTGATATAGCATATCTTTTGTATTTGACCTGTGCAGTTGAGCTTAACTATAGTGTTGGCAACGGTTCGGCTTGGTCCGACTTGAGGCCAAAGTCAAGCCAAACCGTTGATAAGTCAAGCTGAACCGAACCGAACCCCATCGACTTGAAAGTACAAGTCAAACCAAGCCGGACCGAACCGTCCAAGTTGATGGGGTCGAATGGGGTCGATGGGGTTGATGGAAAAAATTAATGATATTGATTAACCAGTTCCATCGGTCCCAATGAAGTTAATGGGGTCGATGGGGTCGATGGGGTTAATAAAATCAAATTAAAATTAATGACGTTAACAATTTGGTTTTGACCTATTAGTCCCATCGGTCCCATCAGTCCCATCAGCCCCATCGACCCAATAAGCAGCTGATGGGGTCGATGGGGTCAAATTTTGCGTGTAAAATTAACTTTTTTTGACTTCGCTCATGATTTATGAAATATGAAACGATTTTTTACTAAGGTATTTTTATGATAGATAGAAAGATCTTGTTCTTAGCTACAAGATGATATATGTTTCATCTCTGTAGCATCGATATTCATTAAATTACTATAAAATTTTAAAATTTCAAAATTTTTTAGAGATTTTTCACAGACGTTTTGATTTTAAACTGTAAGAACTTGATGAATATCGATGCTACAGAGATGAAACATATATCATCTTGTAGCTAAGAACAAGATCTTTCTATCTATAATAGAAATACCTTAGTAGAAAATCGTTTCATATTTTATAAATTACAAGTAAAATCAAAAAAATATAATTTTACACACTTCATTTATAATTATTTTATTTAATAAGAAAATTTATTATTTATTAATTATATTATTTATTAATTATATTATTATTATATTATTTATTAATTATATTATTATTATATTATTTATTAATTATATTATTATTATTATATTATTTATTAATTATAATATAAGATTAATTATTAATTTTATAATATTAAGCAATATAAAATTAATTATTTTCTAATTTTAACCAAGAATTTAAGCACATACATGCTTCAATAGAACTGTCACTCAATCTATTTCTACGTTTATTAATTAATTCTCCTGATTTAGAAAATGCTTGTTCACTAGGAACTGATGTTGCTGGTATACATATATAATCCTTAGCAATTTTTGACAATACTGGATATTGTAATTGATGATGTTTCCACCAATCACATGGATTAATATTTGAAGATTCAACAGCAATTGATAAATATTCATCTATCTCATTATTTGATTGTAAATTATTAAATTTTTTTTTCTTTTGTAACATTTTTTCCATTATTCCTGAATTTTTTCTTTTAACTCCTATATTTTTTTCATTAATTTCAGTATCAATTAAAATAACAGATTCTTCTCTATTTTTATAACTATAAAATTTATTAGAAAGCAATTCTTTTATAGTTTCTACATTTACTGAATTTGGAATTATTTGAATTTTATAACGTGGATCTAATACTAATGCCAAATATGCAGTTGAATTATAAAGATTTTTATATAAAGAATTAAATTTTGTAATCATTTCTTTAGTAATATCTTTTATCCATTCTGATATTTCTTCAGCATCTTGTGTTGTTATCAAATGTTCTAATAAATGATCCAATAAAAGAAGTAATGTTCCAAGGGTTGAATATTCACTACCAGACATTACTTCAGTAAATTCAAAAAAAGGTTGTAAAAAATCACAAAAATTTTGAATTTCTTTCCATTCATCTTCATTTAAATTTAATCTTGTAAAACTTTCATTCATAGATATTATTGAAACAATTATTGACTTGTTTGAAAGAAATGCTTCAAGCATAGAATATGTACTGTTCCATCTAGTTTTCACATCTCTAATTAATTTTCTATATTTAATATCAAATTTTTGTGCAAAAGAAAGTAATTCTTGCTCTTTTTTTGGTGATTTTCTTATTTCTATAACAAATTCTCGTACTTTATCAATAACAGTTTTGAATTTTCCTAATCCAGAATTTACTACAAGAGCAATTGTATGTGCACCACATCGAATTACATTAAATTCTACTTGTAATTCTTTTGAAAGTGTAGTTGTAAGTAAATTCATTGCTAAAACTTGATTGGAACCATTATCAATAGTAATTGATAAAGCTTTTGTTGCAATTGAGAAATCTTGAAAAATTTTAAAAGTGGTTTTTTCAATTTGTATTCCAGTATGTGGATGGAGAAATCGTTGAAATGCAATTACTGCATGTTTAATATTCCATTCATTATCTGTCCAATGTGCTGTAAGAACCATATAAGGTGCACCAGTATCTGATGTCCACATATCAGATGTAAAAGCAATCTTTGATTTATTTTCC